TCAGTTTACGTTTTTCTCAAACTCTAATTTACAACAAGCTTAAAAAGTGTTGCAATAATAACGTTCGGATTCACCGCGAGATGCAGGATTTCCATTGGTCAAGTTTTAGCGATGGGCAGGGAATGGGGGATTGTCTTCCAAGAGAAAATAGTTCCAATATATTTCTTCTGCCATCTGCTTAATAAACGGTTTTGTAATCTAAAACTTTGTATACATATTAACTTGCACCTACTAGGCAATATAACAACATAAACAGACGATCGCAGAAAGCTCCGGAGGGCCCCTTTAAGGACAAGCAATCCCGGTTGGGTAATTGAAAAGAAACTATTTTAGATGATTATTGCAACGTTGTCCCGGTTGATATTCGAATTTCCAGTCACAGCACGTAGTTATACGATGCCTTAATCACCTGTTGAGGTGATGAAATTTTGTGTAGTGCTTGATGCTGACAACAGGAGCGTACACAAAAAATAAACTGACAAATAACCAGTAAAAAATGATGCCGTAGAACAGTCAGTGACAAGAGCTCGTGCATGGAGACCCTCTTTCATACGCTCTAAAACTCGAGAGGAAATCAAGTGCCGTGAGCAAGATATCATCACCCTCGGGAAAGCGCGGATGGAGGCACCCCACATGAAACCATTGACGCTTTCAATCAAATATTGATAGTCGTCTCGAACGAAATTCTGTTCAGAAATCCCTTCTTTTAGGCAGAATGGCTTTGCGCACAATTGTAAACTTGCTTTTAAAATAGAGCGTGCAACGCTGACTCGCTATAGATTAGCTAGAGATATCAATCTCCGGATGCAATGTATATAAATCTCAAATTTCAGCAAATCTGCACTGCCAATCGGTGTAATCTACTTGGGGAGATCGACGAATCAGCGAGGAAACAAATCATATCCATCGATCAATTAGTATATGTGCTCAGACACTCAGCATAACATGAGCCTATTAGACGTCATTCTCAGCTTCTCGTTGGAGGCGCTATTTAATTAGCAAAATACTCCAGTTATCGGCCATACCCTTTCCTGGGTGGCTGAAAGTTTCTCTCGCTGAATAAAACGTTGTAACTAAGCAAACGTTAGTATTGTTTCCGTTGGTTCGCTTTCCTTCCAGCCCTCGTTACATCAAAAAACAAAAATAAAACAAAAGAAGCAAAAGAAAAGTATTACAACGTGACTCTTCACGAATTGTTAAAGAACTCTCCAACTAAATTCTGGAACCCCCCCCCCCCCCCCCCCCCCCATCTTAATCCCAAGAAAACGAACTCTCCCAGTCTAAACCCTGAAGACAGCCAAAATAAGGCAAATGAGTATAATAGTTACTTTCAGTCCGTTTTTACAGACGATAATGGTACTATCCGTAATCTCGAACCTAACGCTATTGCTCTGGAGCCTCTGTTAATAACTGAACCAGGAATTTTAAACCTCTTACTTAACCTAGATACAAAAAAAGGCAGCGGTCCGGATAATATTCCTAACGCCTTCTTAAAACGATACGCAGAATGGATGAGCAAATACTTGTACATAATCTTTAACAAGTCTCTTAGCACGTGTCACCTACCCGTTGAATGGAAAAAATGTAAAGTCATGCCTATACACAAATCAGGTGACATCACCAACCCTTCGAACTTTAGACCGATTTCTCTCACCTGTACTTGTTGTAAACTACTTGAACACATCATTCTAAAGCACATTACAACATTTCTTGATGCACACCAAATTCTTTCTCCTGAACAACATGGATTTAGAAGTGGTCTTTCAACAGGCAGCTAACTTCTTGAAACTTTGCATGACGTGAGCCTAAGCATTAACAACAGAAAGCAAGTAGACATACTACTGCTCGATTTCTCGAAAGCATTTGAAAGAGTTTCACACCCCAAGCTAATCATCAAGCTAAAACATGCTATTGGCGAAGTACCTATAGTTAGTTGGATTGAAAACTACTTATCAAATCGTTCCCAGTTTGTGCAATATGAACAAGAGGCTTCAGAAACTGTCAGAGTTACCTCCGGCGTTCCGCAGTTCTGTCCTTGCGCCAGTTCTCTTCCTACTTTTCATTAATGATATTACAACTAACATTGATGCTAAAATTAGATTATTTCCAGATGATTGTATCATATACCGGGAAATCAACACATCGGATGATTACCTTGTACTAAAGAGCTCTCTCCAGTTAATCAATAAATGGTGCGCTGATTGGCAGATGTCCCTCAACGTGAGCAAAACTGTTTGCATGTCTGTAACAAGAAAGAAATCTATCTCTGAATTTCAGTACGGCTTTGATGATGTAACGATTTCAAGGATGACTCAGTGTAAATATTTTGGCTTATTTATTACTTCAGATTTAAGGTGGGATCTACACGTAAATCATGTAACGTCAGAGGCATTAAAAAAAACTTATGTACATAAAAAGAACACTCAAGCTAGCCGCTACACCCACTAAACTCTTAGCATACACTAGCCTTGTTAGACCAACACTAGAATATGCAAACATCGTTTGGTTTCCTTACACGAAGAATAATATAGCTAAGCTTCAAAATATACAGCGCAAAGCAGTAAGATTTATTTTTAACAAATACAGGCGCACCGACTCACCCACTGAACTTCTTAAAAAGTGTGGTCGTCTTACACTAGCTAACAGGGAAAGGCGACTTAGGCTTAAGTTCTTGTACTCTCTGCTGCATGATGCTTTCAAAATTGACAAATCCAAGTACGTTTCTTTTTCAAATACTAGACAGACCAGGCACAAACATGGTAAAACCTTGACTGAATACTGCTTTAAAAATGACTGCTTCCGCTACTCTTTTTTTCCTTTAGCTACCTGAGAATGGAATCAACTAGATCCTGTCATTACTAACAGCACCTCCATCACATCATTTCTATCTCGGTTGGATGTTTTATTGCACAGTGATGTGTAATTATGAATGACTTTAATTGCATTTTTTTACGTGTGATTGAACAGTGGTTGTTTAATTTGGCTTTGGAAATGTATGTTAACCCTTGTGTATTAATCTTAAAGGTATTTCTACTATTATTTATATCCCAGTGTTTATTGTACAAATTACTTGCATTTTTTGTTGTAGATGTGATGAAATGTGAACGAGTGTCTACTTACTTACTTTTGTGTGCTCCTTCCTGCGAAAATCTCTAAGGGATTGGCAGTATTTTCAAACAAATCAATAAATAAATTACCACTGAGCCTAAGTTATAGGAGATGGACGTTGCAGTTCTAAGAATACAAAAGTAGTACCTGAAGGAAAGAGTCGGTATCCAAAAGATATTTTGCAAAGCGTCGGAACGACGAACTAAAAGTGGACGCGTATTACTACATTCGATTTATATTAACCTGTATCTATATTTGTTTATCTGTATTTCATTAACCCCTACGTACCTACGACGAGGTTGTTTTAGCCATTACCGAGTGCGTAATTTTTTTAGTGTTAGCTTTTGCTTTCCAGTAATATCGGTTACCATCCCCGACATATAATACTATGTACAGAGAAAACACTTCTGCCTCAGTAATTGAATTATATGTCGTAAACTTTACTGTTTTTTTAGAACAGAAAATTTTACGTAAACAATAAAAACGTGTAATTAAAAAAAAATCGTACGCGCAATAACCACTGCCTCAAGGCGTTATGACAAAAAATATACAAATCGCTAACAAGACTAAAATATTACGTTGTTGTTTTTTTATTAAAATTTTTGTTATAGTTGTCGGGCGCCCTGGCGGTAGAAAGCTGCCGGTCAGCTTGCCCGTTACATCAACACCGTGTGTCATCTCCTACTCGATATGGAGCGCCATCGACCGCACCAGTATCGAACGAATTTGTACGCGCCAGAGTCGTCCGTTTACAACTTGCCACGATAATTTATTTTGACTGTTAATAAATAGAGTATACGTCTGGTTGAATCAGTTCTGTTCTGTCGCCCTTCCAGTCGGTTTGCTGCAAGTAAAATCCAGCGAGTAACGTGGAGGGAAAAATAAGGAAACGGAAAACCACAGGGGTGCACCCCCACTACACTGCACCAGAAGAGTTGGATTTGACCCTAGGGACAGGTTTTGCCCAGTTATGAGATTAAAGAAAGAGCTCACACATTCCGATTAACTGGAATGTTCCACCTGTTCCACACGTGAGTGTTTGACCACACCAGGGGGAAAGACGGGGGGGGGGGGGGGGGGGTGCTGTGATTGATTCCCTTGAAGTGATGCGCATCTTCTCCGCCAGGCGCACGCGCTTCGAATTTGAGACGCGCGTTGTTGTATAGAGAGCATATCTCCAATGTGACAGTAGAAAAAGATGAGTGTTCGCCAGACAGTTTTTTTTTTTTTCCAGCCGACTGCGATCGTCAGGTTATTTTTTTAGAAAATATAAAAACTGTTCTGTCATTTTTTGTTGTACCTAGTGTTTTGTTGTTGTTGTTGTTTTTTAATTACACCGAGGCGTTTTATGAATTCATTATAAAACTTAAAACGGCGACTCTTGTACTCTGCAAGAGTTCAAATTTTCTTTCGAAATTATTCTTCGTACCAACTGGAAAGGTATTATGTAGGGCAACAAGAGCACTACTTAAAGCTCCATGACGCCTCTAATAATAACTTCAGACGTCAACAGGTCGAAAAATACCTGAAGTAATACAGGTTTCACTCCGAAATTCCCTTCCCAGAGCCTTCAGGAACCCTCGCATCATATCAACTCACGAGCATCCTCGTCAAGGAATCATCCTGGAGCCCACGGCGTGGTAGCCAACATTTTCCTAAAACGCTTGGCATCCTCAAGGCTGCGACTCTTAACGATTCACTTAGCCCTAAGTATTATAAATTAAAAAAAAGAAAACATCAGTTGCCACTTTTAGGCTTTCTGCACTTTTTTTTTTTTTTTTTTTTTTTTTTTTTGCTAGTTCTTTCTAACATTTTGGACTGCGTTTCTGTTTGTTTGGACTCGTTGAAGAAAGAGAAACATAACATATAGATCCGGAACTACGTGTACTTACGAGTCTTGAGAGTATCGCCTGTGCCGGACTAAAACAGCACATCCTTCTCCCAACAAGAAGCGTCGCACTACCGTGTCGAACTGTACACAACTGCTACCGCGTCGGAACTCATCACTCATTCAGGCACGTCGGTGACATCCACATCACAGAAGAGTTCATACCTCCCCGGTTATTCCAGGCCCACATTCGTCGATGAATTCAACCGCCCGCGGCTTCGTGTATCCGACGGAACTCTCGGCACAAATGGCTCGTCAAGGCATCAGGAGCTTTTCTAGAGGTTCTTCGATGATTGAAGATGCGTCTTGCTCGTAGGGAAGCGCTTCCGAAGCCTAAAGGTGGGGGCCCGCTCTGCCCGCGCGTAGTCTGCTGCTGCGTCTGCGAGTTCGTGCTCCTGGATGCTCGAAAACAGCCCCGCTGGCACGTGGCTGAGACGAGCGGTCTCCTCCGACGCCTGGCCTCTTCCACGAGAAGCTTTCCTCTCCTTCCCTCGTCCTTTCGCTCTCTTTTTCGCACCCCAGGTTTTTCTTCTCCTTCTTGCCTCGGAGTTTGAGTTCCGGGCGGTCGGTGGCCGCCCCGACTTACTCTTCTATCTTCGAGCTGTCGCTGTTCTTTTGTTTTCGCACGGACGTCGACTTTCTTTGCTAGCTACGCTCTTTTGCCGAGGATGTCGTGCTCGACTGCGTCCGTGTGGAAGTGTTTGTGTTTGTGCTTTGAAGGGTCCAGAGGTCCGAAATTAACGCATTCGCCGTGTGTTCCTTTTTCGTAAAGTACTTATCAAGTAAACTGTCGCTTTTTTTGTTTTCATTTGACGGTGGTGTGTCACTGTTGCCTCTCAGTACATTTGGCTGCCCCTGCTTCTGTTTGTTCTTATCTGGCGTATCGCACATAAATATATGTTACTTTGTAGCGTTTTACAATCCCTGAGAAAAGAGACAGTGTGTTTCGTATGCGACTGAAGGAAATCTGCCTGCGGCCGTACATCGCACATGCTTATGCACCACCGGTCACACGTGCGAAACCAAAAAAAAAAGTTCTACCAGGTTGCAAATTTTCCAGAAAATAGAGAGTTCGTGTCATGGCAATAAAGTGGCGTCGTGTTTTTTTTTAGAAACCTCCTCTCAGATACCGAAACGTCGGCTGATATTTCTTGAACAATGGAACTTTTTTTTTTTTTCTGGTTAAGTTTGTGATCAAAACTTCGACTTTATACGGCCCAAATGGCGGTAAGGAGAATTGTCACAACCAAAGCCGCCCTCCCTGTAGTGCCATCTTCCCTGGCAGTCGCAGTGTTGCACATGTTCGTTGAACACTAGAACGGACCATCGTTTACCGTTTCTTTTTTTGTCATTTTTGAAACGAGTACAGTTCCATTTTTATTGAGGTGAAACACCTCATTTCCCCTTATAGTTCGGAACGTATATAGTTACATTTCCAATAAAATGGGGCATTTTAGGTAAGCTCTACCGCTCTTTGAGAGGCACATAAAATAAAGATGTCCAAATTAGACATTTGATCAAAACATACCATACGAGATTAAGGGTTATCCCACATTTTGCTTAGATTAAACTATTGCAGTTCTCGTAATATAGAAAAAGTAAAACGATATTGCGCTTGAGAGTTTCGAAATTTTCTAGCGCAATTCGGCGTTGTCTGTTGTTGTAGGTAGGAGGCGGCTCAGGTACAGCGTTGCTCGATTTCCGGAAGGTTTTTTTGGGAGGAAAGAGCGCATCAATTATTCACTCTCGTTGCCTGGACTTAGAAGCAACCGAAACTTCAGGTTATTAACATGTATTTTTAGTAACAACTTAGTTTGAGAAGTGAGTGTTTTCTTGATAAAAGGGCAAAAAGAGTGCCTGAGTAAAGGAAAAGCGGACATTTTTATAAATTCTTAAGTTGTCGGACACGTACCGGTAACTCTAAGCGATTGATTAATTTGTTCTATTGATTTTTTTTTACTAAAATTGTTTATAAATTTTAGTTTGCTCGCTGAAAACCGCATCACACACTATGCGCATTGGAGTCCGCCAAAATTAAACATGCAAGTCGTATTAATTCGTCGCAGGTGTATAGCTCATTTAATGGAACGCTGAAGTGTCACCGACTTATTACTCTGAAAAAAAGCCCATGCGTTTATTTTCCTGCACAACACTCGGAGAGCCGATCATCGCAACTTACGGAGGACGTTCAGCGAATGACGATGCCGAAATGTTTGTTTAAACCAAAAAACGCACTCTGAGTTGTGACATTAATAAATGCAAGCGTGACGTTTTGCATTCAGACTGTGTCTTTGGTCTAAACATATGTTTCGGTATCGTCATTCGCTGAGCTACCTCCCCAAGTTGCGATGATTAAATCTCCAAGTGTTGCGCAAAAAAAAAAGAATCACAGGCTTTTTTTTATTTTTTTGAGGTGTAGATTTGCCTTTTTGATATCGTGGGGATGTCTCCTACGTTTCCCATCGACCGGGTGAATAAGTAGCGATTTAATTGAAACGACCCAGGAAGCCAGCCACCGCTTCTTCCAGTTATTTTTGAGGAAATGTTTGTTTACTGGTTTACACAATTAAAAAAAAGGAATCGGCTTGGAAGTAATAAGAGCCCAGCACTCACAGAACACGCCAACAGGGACCAAGAGAATACACGGAGTCGCTTTCACTGAAGTGTTTACCACACGCGCGAGAGGTTATCGAAGTTTTGTTTTCTATTTTCAGTTTGATGAGAAATTCCTTTCTCAGTTTTATTTTGTCCGAGTCATATAAAAAAACTACCTTGGTAGATGTTGTACTGGGCTGAAGCGCTGAATATTCTATTTGCACCGTCCACCATTTTGTACTGGGGTTGGGAACAACACACCACCATCTCAACGTCTCGACACCTAAGCGCCAAAAGTGTTTGTTAGCACGAGTACGTGTGCCAAGGTTTCAAGCTTTGGTAAAATGTCCTACTACAAATATCACCTCACCGAATAAACACAACGCGTAAAACACGCTGTGCCGCGCGTTACTTAAACAGCGCATGAAGCGAGCTGATGAGCCGAGGGCTCCAAGATCTACGGGGTCTGCCCCAATCTGTCCTCCCCGTGACGTCACAAGCGATGGCGATGATAGCCAAAAAAGCGCCCCTGTTGTTCGCGCACACCACCAATATGGCGGGCAAGTTCGTCTGCTCTTTGCACCCCCCCCCCCCCCCCCCCCCTCGTGCTTTCCTTTAACTTCCAAAGGCGTCCTGGTGCTTTCGTCTCCCCTCGACCTCGACCACAGCCTCCTGTATGCTGAAAACGCCTGGCAGATCGCCACGAGAAGCGGCCGCCGAAATGGAAAAGGTGGAGCGGCAAACGACGGATGAGAGAAGAGCCACGTGACTGGCGTTCCGCTGCGGCGAGACGCCGAAACACACTTCTTCCCGGGCGAGCAAATGTGTTTCGGGTCCTCGTCACTGCAAAAGCTGAGTGCTGACGTCCAGGTTTCCCGAGAAATGGCGCCTCGATGCTCAGTGCTAGCAGATCCTCGCGCTCCAAATCTGCGACCGGGCACTCTTTGGCTCCGTCGTCGAACTGCCAGGCTTTGTCAGTATAGAGGAGGCTATGCATCGATTAATAACGACGCAGGGTTGGTTGCCTCGTCGCCGCGCGTTTTCTGCGCGTTTTTTTGTGATCGCCCTTGCTTGGCGTGCCCCTCCTCGCGTTCAGACGGGTTAGAAAACGTGTTTTCGAACACTTGCTCGGCGCACAAACTTTTACTTAGCTTTCCCAGCTAAAAGGGCGAGCGTAATTCCTTTATAACTATGTCCGCAGCAAAACGACGTCTGCCTCATTTCTAACAAACAAAGGAAATTATACCGTCAAACCTTCCTTAATATAACGCTCCCACTCTACCTTATTCGCGAGGAGATCGAGCCAGAGAAGGCCTTCGTCTAGCTCGTTGTCCCCAGAGCTCGCTGTTTACTCAAAACAAGGCCTATGACCTGAATTCTCTGCGCCATCTTCCTAGAACGAGCGCGGGCGACAGACTGTACACGAGTGCCGCGTCAGCGATTGGCTGGGACTAGTGTTTGAACATATTGTTAACAAAATAATCTGGAGGGAAAGGTCCCACGCATTCCGGCCCCTTCGGAACGGCGGGGGATAGACACGGACATCGGTGGTCCCAGCGGGTGGTCACGATGGGTCAATTTCGCTGCTGACAGGAGCAGCGAAACATCACCTGTAAGGCCCGTGCCTAGTTCTTTTTCAGCACACTTCGCAGAAGAACACCGACATCCTGGATTGTTTAAAAATAAAAATAAAGACTTGTCAAGCATTCGAACAACATTGTTTTACCCAACGAGGTAGAGGGGCTTAGAGCGATAAACCGGAGTTCCGGTCCGCACTCGAAAGTGACCCCCATAACGCGGCTGCCATTGTACGCAAATCTGACCACTCGTCACATGACCAAACCAAATACGTGACGTCACAGGAAAGATGGCAGCGCCCACGCAGCGGCTGGCCCCAGCTGAGCCGGAGCTTGTCGGATGTTTTGTTGGTTGTCGTTCGTTTCTGCGAGTTGATTTCAGACGCGGGAGCCGTCCTATGAGGCCGGTCGAAAGCTACATAAGAGTTCAGCGTGGTATGTGACGTAGGTATAACGTGAAAATACAAAACAACGGTGTGCATTTCGCTGGTGACCGACGGGGATGTTGCCACGGAAGAGACAATCTGCCCTACGTTGCTCGGACCTCGGATTGATTCGGATACCGCTAGGATAAACTTTAAGACGACGTTTTTGTGCTCTCGTTTACCATCGGAATCTTCGAGGTCTGCAGTGAAGCGTGTGCAATATATCTGGACACTCAGTTTAGCGACGCAACTTGCCTGAGTCCTGCTTGGTAGAGTGCAATCGTGGTGCAGCTTCGTTCAAATGACCGAAGGCCCACTTTAGTTGTGCGGCGCACCGGAGAGCTGCCTTGAAGCTGGTAGTTCCCGTGCCGTGCTAAATGATGCTGTGCTGCTTCCCAAATTGTTCCGGCGTAGACGTGCGCTTTAACGGAGCACAGGTGTGCGGCGCACCGAAGAGCTGCGTTCAAGCTGGTAGTTCCTGTGGCATGCTTTAGGTGATGCTGTGCTGCTTCCCAAATTGCTCCGGCGTAGACGTGCACTTTCACGGAGCACAGGTGTTGCAGTTGGTATTGATCCCGCTGGTCTGTCGCACGCTTCGTCGACACAAAAGTTTCACCAACACTCGATCGTTACGCAAATTGCAAGCCGTATTTACATTTCATTGCGCGTGTCACCTACCCAGTCCACCCGTTCACGCCGCTTTGCGACAACAGTCTCCAGCGGCTCATTACTAGAAAAGTGGGCTCACATCCATTTCAGTTCAGTTCGCCCACGGCAGTCGCCAAACCCCGAGGGAGAGAATTTATTCGGACAGAATGCCACTAAAGCAAAGCAGCTTCTTTTAGTGGTCAGGGT